TGAAATCTCCTGGGCTGGCCACCTTGAACCAGGCCAAGGCCAACCTGAGGCTTCCTGCTTTGGTCCGTTGCCTGAGCTGCCCTTGGCCCAGGCCTGAGGGCTGGGATCTTTCTCTCCTCTTGGTGGAAGGGGTTGGGGGAGCCAGCTGCTAGCTGGGGGTGCGGGTGGGGGATATACAGGTGTGAGACTTGGTCCGAGTCTGCCCTGACTTTATCAATGACCCCGGGCCTCACTCCTCAAGGCATGAAGGTAACAACAAAGTGCTGGCTCTGGGGAAGCATCCAGGGCCAGGATGGAAGTAGGCGTGGGACGGGGGGACAGGGGGAGTCAGGCCATGAGTCTGTGCTGAGCCAGCACTGGCAGACAGCAGTGTGGGGAGCACGCAAAGCCCCGCTGGGACCCTAAGACATCCCCTTGCAGCCCGCCCCAGCACACCAGCCGGGCGCACGTACCCACAAACCAGCCATCGTCACACCGCTGCATGACGTCCACTCTGTCCCCCTCCCGCAACTCCAGCTCATCCTCGTTCTGGGGCCTGTACTGGTACATCGCCCGGTACCTGGGGGAGACAGTGTGATGGCAGCCACCAGAGCCCTTGCCCCTTTCCCAGACCGGGCCGGAGAGTCTGAACCCAAGTGTGGCCACATGCGGTGAATTCCCCAGGTTTCCTCTGTGCTCCCACTAGCCCTGGCCCAGTTCCTGCAATGGCGACTCTCTCTGGCTCCAGTGCATTCTTCTCCAGGCCTGCTGCCTGCACTCTGAGCCTTCACCATCCAAACCCTGTCTCTGTGGGCTCCCAGTGCCTTCAAGTCTGTTCTACCAGTTCCCATGCTTCATATAGCCACACACTGACCTCAGGGCTGAAAACCCAGTGAGGAGACAGGCTAGGGGCCGAGTGTGGGAGGCTTGCTCTAAGGCCACAGGGCTGGTGGGGACAGGACAGAAACACCGCAGACAAATGGGCCCCCTGCCACCGAATGACCCTAGCACTGCAAGGACTAGCGCTATCTATTAGGCGTTTACCAAATCCACCTTGGGGGTCAGTGGGCTCAGCTCTGCCTGCCAGTAGCCTCCCCACCCCTAACTAAGCACCCCAAGATGGTACTCACGGGGTCCAGTGTATCTGAGTGGTGTTGGGGGAGGAGGTCCCCATGTCCAGGAGACGGCTGGTGCCTCCAGGATGGGATAGAGCTGACCCAGGGGTGCTGAGATTCTGGGGGTCCACAGAAGGAAAGGTGGGCACATGCAAGCCTGAGGCGGAAGTGAAATCCCCCCCCCACTTCCCCTGGGGCGGCACTTCCGGCACTGCTCCTCTAATCCTCAGTCCCCACAGCATAGGGGGTCTGTGACCTTTTCACTTCAGAGGTGCAGGAAAGCCGAGGCCCAGGTAGGGCAGGTGGCTGGTTTCTGAATGCCATGCAGGCAAAATGGGGACGGGAGGAGGCCCACACACTGGCTGTGCCTGCTCACACTGGTTTGCCGAGGGAAGGGGTGGCTGCAGAGCCAACGGGCTTGTTTGTGGGTGTCAGGACAGCAGTCAGTGACTATCCATGACTATAAACTTTTAGTTCAAACTCATCCAACCGCCCTCTGCAATAGGAATTAGTATCCCCATTCTACAGGTGAGGAACATGCTACAGCTGAGAAAACCTATATCCAGAGAGGGCAGGTCATCTGCCCAAGGTCACACAGCAGGTAAAGGGCAGAACCCCGACTCCGGCCCCACAGATCTCTGAGGCTGATAAAGGTAAATCACAAAAGTGAAGTCTAGAGGGTCAGAAAGGCAGGGCTGGCTTTGGGGTCCCACCTAGAGCCGGGTGGCTGCCCCCTCCTCCCAGGACTGTAGCTCAAGGGCCAGAACCAACTTGAGGGCCCTGAGGTCCATGAGGCCAAGGTGGGGCTGCAATGCCAGGTTCTGCCCGGTCACCCCACCACTCTGGGGAGGGGTGCAGCCTCGTCACAGGAACAGAGGATACACTGCGGGGAGAGGGGGTCAGCTCTCTCTGAGGCAGGTCACTTTACCTGGGTCTGAGATCTGGGCTCCTGGGTGGGGTAGGAGAAGCCAGTGCGGCGGGGGGAGGTCCGGCCCCCCCAGTCCGTGGGGTCTGCTGAGCCGTGCGGCGTTAACGGGGAGCTGGGGTGATGGGCAGCCGGACGGGTGGACGTCAGACGGGGAGACGCAGGGAGCTGGGGGCCTTCGTCGCAGACCCGGAGCCGGGGCTCACGGCACACCTGCACATAGGTGGCTGGGAAGATGCCCTGGCGCCCTGTGCCCGAGATGCGCCCCTCGTACCAGTTCTCGTTCACCTTGCGGATGAGGCAGATGCGCTCCCCCTGCAGGGAGAAAGGAGTCAGTATTTGGAGGGCCCTCCTGGGGATGAGCGGGATGTCTTCTAAAACACCTTGCCCAGAGGGCTCGGACTCAGAGAGAGGCAGCAGTTTATGCCGAGGTCACACAGGTAGGAAGTGGCAGAGTTGGGAGCCAAACCCAGGCCACCTGGGGAGCGAGCAGAGGTCTAAGCTCTTCCCACGACATGCTGGGGTTGGATTAAGTCCTGCCCCTTTGGGACGCTCATGTGCAGCCTCTCCGAGTTTCGAGCTCTCTCCTTGCAGAGTTCCGGTCACAGGGGAGACTAGAGGATCATGACACAGATCCAAACCAGGATCTGCCGATTTCAGCTGTGTGGCCTTGGACAAGTTACTTTGCCCCTGTGAGCCTTGGTTTCCTCACCTGTGAAGTGGGGATAACAATATCATTGCTGCGAGGAGCAAAGGAGATTTAGTGGAGACTAGGAAGAGATACTGGACACGTGTTAGCCACCACTGCCATGACTGGGTCCAGTCCCTGCCTCTACGCTGGGTGGTCCCGTCGCCACACCACTGCATCTAAAAAGAAACCCCTGAGGGCAGCTAGTGTGTCCTCAGGCCCACATGCGGACTGATATCAGGTGGGGCTGTCCCGCGGAAGATGATCTCCAGCCCTCTCCTGCCCCCACCTCTCTCCTTCCTGCCACCTCCTTCCCTGCCTCTCCCTGGGGCCAACTTTTCCAGAGGACATTCACTAGGGGTATTCATGGCCTTTGCCCCAAAATCGACCAAAGGGAGACCAGTTCCCTGCTTTCTAGGACATTTTACAAGCTTTCTTGATCACAATCTATAGTAAAAAATGTGTTTCAATAACAACCCAGGGCGTATGGGCGTGTCAAGCTTTCTTGATCACAATCTATAGTAAAAAATGTTTCAATAACAACCCAGGGCGTATGTGCATGTGCGCGCACACAAACACGCACACACACACACGCACGCCTAAAAGTTTGACAGAATACCCTATGTACATGCAAAGGCCTTCTAACATTTCCATTTTGTTCTTTTAAAAACAATGATTGTGATCCTCACAGTCTGCCAACCTGGAACTGAAAAAAGCACAACTACTACACGCACGCCTAAAAGTTTGACAGAATACCCTATTACATGCAAAGGCCTTCTAATAGTTCCATTTTGTTCTTTAAAAACAATGATTGTGATCCTCACAGTCTACCAACCTGGAACTGAAAAAAGCATAACTACTCTAGAAGTTTTTCTAAAAAAAAAAAAATGGGCTAAATTAAGGGAAACATATCCAAAGAGACTGAGAAAAAAAAATTGGAAATCCTGGATGAAGACGGGTTCATCTGACTCTTAAAAAATGTTTGACGGCACACGTTGCCCTACGTCTCCCAGCCCCGGCCAGCTCCCCGCTCCGGCCCAGCCTGGTCACACCTTCCGGAAGGACAGCTCCACCTCCAGGTCCCCCTTGAAATTGTACTGGGCCACAGCTTCTCCATACTCCAGCACTTGGTAGGTCGGGGGCTTGAGGGGCTTGGGGATCTCATCTGCAGGCAGCATCTGCAGGAAGAAAAGTCACAGGAAGGATTGAGCCTGGGCATCAACTGGGCACAGGCCTGGAGCTCCTGGGAGGGTGAGGCCACCAAAAGGCAGTAGGGGCAGCAAGATCTGTCCCCAGGCCAGGGAAGAGACAGACATCAGACACAAGCCTGGGGTGGCCGGGGACAAGCACGGCCAAGGGGGTGGTGAGTCCCTGAAGACCCCTGGAGGAAGAATTTCCACTAGAGTTATGTGGAGTATGCGGTGGCAAAGACGGAAGCCAGTCCAACGAGAGAGAGAAACTTGGAGGGCCAAAGGAAATGAGGAGTTCCAAGGAGCAGGGAACACCTAGTGACCTGTTCTAAAAGAGAGACTCTAACACTTTACCATTGCTCGGAACCAAGTGTCCTTCTTCCTCCTCCCTTTCTTCCCTAACCAGGTGCCCGGAATCCTCATGCTCTCTTTGCTTCACCCTACTCATAAAAATCAAGACGCTAATAAACTATTTCACAGCAAGATGTAAATGATCAAGGACATGCAATACGTGATGGAATTTCCGGATCAGAGAGAACGTTCTCAGGGTAAGGGAGACCTACTACGCTTGTCAAATCAAGAGCCCAACTCTTGGGTCAAAGAGGAAGTCTCAGAGGAAATGAGAAAATAGTTTGAGTTCAACGAAAACAATAAAATATCAAAATCTGTGGGATGTAGTTAAAGCAGTGCTTGGAGGAAAATTTATAGCATTAAAATGCTTGTATTGGGGGGGAAATGTTTCAAATCGATAATCTAAACTACCACCCTAACAAACGAAAAAAAGAAATGCAAATTGGGCCTAACAGAAGCAGAAGGAAGGAAATAATAAAAAGGCAGAGATCAATGATATGGAAAACAAAAATAGAGAAAAATCAATGAAATCAAAAGTTGGTTCTTTGAAAAGATCAATAAAATTAACAAATCACTAGCCAGAATAAGAGAATACACAAATTACCAATATCAGGAACAAAAGAAAAGATATCACTAAAGATGCTGCTGACTTTAAAAGGATAATAAGGAAACATTATAACAACTTTAAGCTAATAAATTAGATAATTTGAAGTTCCTTAAAAGATACAAATACCAAAGATAACCTAAAGCCCTATATCTATCAAATTCAGAACCTGTCTCTGGATTCAGATTCTGGATCTTATACTTAATAACTTATCTCTGAACCTTAGCACAGGGATCCTCAATGGTACCAGTCCATGGCCTGTTAGGAACTGGGCCGAAAGCAGGAGGCGAGAGGCAGGCGAGGGAGTGAAACTTCATCTGCATTTGCAGCCGCTCCCCAGCGCTAGCATCGCCACCTCAGCTCCACCTCAGATCAGCAGGCATTAGATTCTCATAGGAGCACCGGTCCCTGGTGCCAGAAAGGTTGGACACTGCTGCCTTAGCAAGCCCATCTATAAAATGGGGCTGATCTATCACTTTCCCAGGTCAATGAGAAGAACGGGGGAAATAATACAGTTGACTCTTGAACACTTGGTCAATGAGAAGAACAGGGGAAATAATACAGTTGACTCTTGAAATAATACAGTTGACTCTTTGAACTGTAGGGGTCCACTATATGTGGATTTTTTCAATAAATACATTGGAAAAATTTGGGGAGATTTGTGATAATTTGAAAGAACCCGCAGATGAACCATGCAGCATATTTAAAACTTACGAAAAGGGTTATGTCATGAATGCATAAAATATATGTTTGTATTTTCTCTTCCTTATGATTTTCTTAATAACATTTCTTTTCTCTAGCTCAGTGGTCCCCAACCTTTTTGGCAACAGGGACCAGTGCTCCTATGAGAATCTAATGCCTGATGATCTGAGGTGGAGCTGAGGCGGTGATGCTAGCGCTGGGGAGCGGCTGCAAATACAGATGAAGCTTCGCGGGCTTGTCCACTGCTCATCTCCTGCTGTGTGGCCCTGTTTCTAACAGGCCATGGACTGGTACAGGTCCAAGGCCCGGAAGTCAGGGACCCCTGCTCTACCTTACTTTATTTTAGAAATATAGTATACTACATAGAACACAAAATAAGTGTTAATCAATTGTTTATGCTATTGGCAGGGCTTCTGGTTAACAGTAGGCTATTTAGTAGTTACGTTTTGGGGGGAGTCAAAGTTATACACGGGAAAGAAAACGTTATACATGGATTTTTGACTGCACAGTGGTCAGTGCCCTTAACCTCTGTGTTGTTCAAGAGTTAACTGTACACGTGATGCATGTATATGTGATTTATAAATGTCACACATGCTGTATTCTTGCCAGTGCAATTAGGATTCATCCCAAAGACAGCTTTAGAGAGGTGGATTCTGCGTGGTGAAAGTCTGGGATGCTGACAGTGCTGGTGGCCCCTGCTTCTCCCCCGTGGGCTGCGTTCCACCTTTAGCCCTCATTTGACAAACATTTCCAGGGCACAGGCAAAGTGCTGGGCCAGGCCCTATGGGGGCCAAGGACATGGATGAGGCTGGGCCATGGCCTCTGCTCCGAAGCTCACAGTTTCACATCTCAGGAAACCTGTGAGATGTGGCAGCCAGCTTAGGAGAGAAGCTATGGATAATGGCTCTGCCGCCCACCTGCCCTCCCCGGCTCCTGCTCACCTCCACATAATTAGCAGGGAAGATGCCCAGCCTGCCATGGTGTTCCCCCTCCAGCCAGTTCTTGTCCACCTCCTTGTGGATGTAAACGATGTCACCCTTCTTCAGAGTCAGCTCCCTGCAAACCAGACCAACGACATCGGCAAGCTGAGGTCCTCTCCATCCCCCTTCTGAGCGCTGGGGAGCGGCTGCACCCAAAGTCCCCGTCCAGCACACCCAAAGTCCCCGCCTCCCTTCAGGGATGCCCACTGCAGCCCTGCCCCGCCCCCTCTACCCCAGCCACCCAGTGCAGAGCCAGCCCCAGGGGGCAAGGGAGGGGAGAGGACACTTACTTGGGGGACTGTGCTTGGAAGTCAAACTTGAGCCTGGCAGCCTTCTTCTATGCAGGGGGAGAAGAGAGCCGGGTGACCCCAATCAAGCAGTTACTGGGCCCCACCCCAGGCCCTCCTTGCACCCTGACCCTAATGTTCCCACTCCCTTACCTTCTTCTCTTCCTTCCTGGCAGGGCTGACCCCTCGTTCAGAGGCACTAGGGTCTGTGGAGAAGTACCAGCTCAGCTCGGAAAGGCCATGTCTGGGGAGGGGGCCCACCCCCCTGAAGGACACCGTGGAAGTAGGGGGCTCTATGACCTTCCTGTAACCACTACCTCCAGGAGCCCCAGCATATCTAGTGTGTGTGGTGGGGGGCGCCTGGGTGAGAAAAGGGGGAGGATCTGGACCTTACCTCTGGTTGAGGAAGGGTAGACAAAGTCTCTGCGACCTAGGAAGGGGCTTCCGCCATCCGCCATTCTGTGGGGGCTCAGGGTCCGGGAGGAACCCCGGTAAAGTGCATTCGGGGAGCTGGGGCTCCAGGCCGAGGCCGGGCTGCGGGGACACAGTGAGTGAGCCACCTGTCTGGCTTCACACCCTACCGGGCTCGCTCTCTCCCCTTATTTCCAGCTGCCTGCTCCCCAGCCGTCGCCCAGGTCCTGGGCTCGCCACCGGACGTTCTGCTTCCCGAGCGGTGGCCGGGGCAGGGTGCGGCCGCGCCGCGGAGGAGAGCGCGGGGAAGTGCCGGCCGCGGCCCCCCAGC